GCAGTCAAGATGATTTTCTAATGACCATTTTCTTACCATAGTGTCTGGCTCTGTCTCACTTAAGTAGTCTAATGCTCGATCTGTATTCTGCACTTGCTCATGGAGGAACTTGCCTTCTTTGATTTATACCCCTATGAAAAGTCAATTAGCCCCATTACAGAGACTTGGTAGCATTAAAGATTAATCAGGGAGCGTTGTGATCTGTGTGGAGAAGAGAGCAGTAACTGACAGCTTACACCATTTTAACAGAGAGGGGATAATGGAGAAACAGCAGCAGGGCTCTGTGTGTCTCTGTGTGCAGTTCGGTGTAGATTGATGATTGATAGAATTATTTTTGTCAAGCTGTCTTTGAAGATTGTGTTGTTTTTCTAGAAAGTTTGGAGAGACGATTCATCTGAAGAGAGATAAGAGTTGTTTGGAGTAATAAATATGGATTTCCCCACTGTGATTTGATTTCATAAAGCTAAACCCATAAAGCAAAAACAGTTTTTCTTCTCCTTGTTTTTCTTAGGATTGGAAATAGTGTGGTTTTGGGGGCAGGTAAGCATGAAATTGGGACAAAGAGTCATTCACTATATTGTTAAAGTTGTGAATTGACCTCACAATCTTTATGCCTTATACAAAGTGAACAGTTGACAGTGTTCAGGTCCAAAAATTGTAATCTGTATTTAGTTTGTCTTGTTGGCTTTCTCAGATTTGTCAAATAAGTTCTAAGTTCTAAGATCTCAAACTTAATTGTGATTATGCAAATTTTCTGTCCTGACAAACCTAGTAATATTGAACACATTATCTCACCCAGTTGTGTGTAGATGCAGTCATTAATGTTTTCACTGAAACTTTGATATATATAAATCAGGTTAGATGAATAATTACATAAATGTACATCTGTAAATACTAAAGGATGATACAACTTTTTACCAACTTTGCACTTGGCCCAACTTTTTGGTGGAGGAAAGTCAACTGCATGTTTCCATGGAAATAGAAAGTATAAATATAAAGCTATACTTCACAACATTCTCCATGGAGATCAAATAGTATAGCCAAAGAAACATTTCCCAGAAAGAAACATTTCCATGGTAACAAACAGGCCAAATAAGAGTCAGTTTTGTGGAGATGTAAAGTTTGCTTACAGTAATGACACATGTTTATATGTTTTTCAACCTTAATGAAAAAACATGCTTTTTAAAGTCTATTTTTGTCAAAGTAAAGCTCAGACTAAAGTCTAACTTGCATAACAGAGTCTCAGACAGAGCAGTGTCTACAGTTAGCATCACAACCCCAGGGAATGTTGATGATATCAGCTGCAAAGTATCAAAGTGTTTAACGTTCTTTGCACCAATTTGGCTTTTTCTTTGTTTTGTTTGTTAACGCTACAGCTAGTCTGTGGTCCCATGGTTGTGCTAATTGAAACTAAGAGGCCTGTCTGCAGTCAGGCGCTTAGGTCCAGGGCAGACTTTATTTCTATAGATGGACATTAGTTGGTCAGCAGCTGGTCTCTGCTTTTTATCTTCTACCTAGTTCTTTGTGTCTTAATTATCCCAGATGCCCTGGTCTAAGGACATCTCCATTGCCTTCTGAGTGATTGGGGCAGGTTTATTGTCTATCCAGAGTGCACATATAGAACCCTAAAATGTGTCTTAGCTGCCACCCAAGAAGCAGGGTATCTTGTAGGGTTAATTTTGTAAGAGGCGGGAGAAGGAGCCAGGCTGCATTGTGAGGTGTTATTTTGAGAAGGCGTAGGATGTAAGAAAGAGGAGGGTGCGCTATCAGAGCTTCTACTGGAGGCTTTAGTCTACACTTGTGCCTATGCAGTGAAGTATTTTAGGCTATGATCAGCAGTCACCTCTCATTAGGATCTGACAAATTTGGACAGAGAAAATTAATTTGTGAATGTTCATGCCAATGAATGTACACATTTTTCACAAAGTTTACAACATACTGATACCCTAAAAAGACTGCCGAGAAAGCAATTTGGACAAACAAGTGTTCTGGTTATATATTGATACTTTGCAGCTCATGTCCTTGGGTGTGTGATGCTAAATGTAAACACTGCTCTGTCTGAAACTCTGTTCTGTCTGAACTTTGTTTTAACACAATCTGACCATAAAGAGCTGACTTAGCTGGAACTACGACAGGTGATTTGTGCTGAGTTGTGCAGTAAAGTCCCTCTAAAATAACATTACAGTTACAAGATAACTTTTAGCCAACAGTTTTTCAGTTAGTCACGCTCAAAAATAAAAAAAAATTAAAAAAACCTATGAGCACTTGTATTGATCATAGGCTGCCAAAAATGTACTGTTTAAATCCATTTTGGTTTTTTCAGACAATCTTAAATCTTTTTTGACAGTGTTTCCTAATGTATGCATTGTGTCACCATGGTAACTCCTGAACATTCCACAATAGAGATACATGTAGAATACCCCCATGTCACTGCATCAGTACATGATCATCTCCATGTTTTATGAAGTACAATATATGTATACAAGATTAGCCATACACCTCCTATTTGGAAAAGACTGTGACTCACTAGTATGACTAATGCTGTGTTCATTTACGGCAACATTTTTTACATATGCATATTCTTCAACTGAGTTACCCTGATAAAACACCTCTGCATTATTATAACAGGTTCGTATAAAGTGAGTCTTTTTTGATATTTAAAAAGTTTTTTCATTGAATCAGTCTCAAAAGAGTTTAAAGACAAGGTGTTCACACTAAGGTTGTCCAAAAAATGACACCCAGATACTATATATAGTAATATAATACTAATATATATATACAAATTTGAGCAGATATGGAAAAAAACATAAATAATACAACGTTTCCTGAATCGTTTTAGAAAGGTTTTGATCTATATCAGAGCTATAAGACAACAGAAACTACTACTTAATGTTAATAATCACATTCTGTTGACTATAAAATATTTTCATTGTGGAAAATTATATTGAGTATTTTCCTTTGTCAGCGATATTAAGTTTGAAATTTAGTATTGTTTGTTATTGCTTAGTATTGTGACAACACTGCCAGCCACTATGCTTCGTTTTCCATTTTGTCTTTTAAAACCTCTGTCGAGGACCTTGAATTTGCAAAGTTTTCAAATATATATTATATATATATCCACCAATAGCCCTATACTATCCTATATGAGCCTATCTTAGCTTGCTTCGTTTTCCATTTTGTTTACTTTGCTTGCTATCTATAAAAAAGATCTTATAAAAAGTATAATTGAGAATATTTTACTCAAAACATTCCTTGATTGCAGAGCGAGGTTGGTATTGTTGGTTTGTTTACTATAGGGTTCACTGGAAATAACTCATTGTGCCGTCTTTTGAGTAACAAATGCACACAGACGCATCATTTTCCCTCAGTCATGGCATTTTGTATCTGGTATAAAAGCAGTTGATTCAGCTGAAAAACGATAAGGCAGCACCCCACTGGTTCTTTTAATTTCTGTTTCTCGAAACACATTTCCATCACTTGTGAGTAATTAAAGCTAAGTGCCGCACAACTGAAGGGAAATAACATTCTCGTTCTTATCTAGATTGAGTTGACAGGCTAGCAGTGCATTCAGTCATTTTCAGGTACAGTGTATGTGCTTACAAAGGGGATTCAACTGTATATGGCCTTTAGAATATTGCTAATGAACGTACTGTTAAGATTAAGATAAGCACTGAAGCAATATTTAGTCCGTTGCTTTTGGTGTAACTGATCGTATCATCACTGACAAATTAAAATAAATGAAAATTTCAGAATATACAAAGATATAATAGTTCATTGAATGTTTTGCCTGTTTTATAATTTTGAAGTTGCTTTGCGTAACTTTCTCTGATGGAGGGTTCGCTACCTGCTTTTCTACTTTGCCTGGGATGTTGCACAGTATGGTATTAAAATTATCCATCTCATCATGGAGACAAATTTTTAAGAGGCTTTTTTATTTTTATTTTAACTCTATCTTTTGATCTATGTTATAATCTTATTTCATCATCAAAAACATACCCAAAGATGTGTTTTGTTTCATTCGCACATGTTTAGCACACAAACTCTTCATATTTAGGCTGATTTCTACTCTCAAACTGAAAACACATTGTGATATGATGTGGTAATACAGGAAGTGCTCCACTGTGTTTTTAAACTGCATACGCCTTCACTAGAATCATTAATAATGAACCAAGATTACTCAAACATGTATAAATGGAACAAAACACAACTCTAGGTATGTTTTTGATGAGGTTGCATCATAACATGAAGATCTCACATGAGTCCATTTAGTGTAATATAGGACCTTTATGGTATTTTCGCAATAGCTCCTGTAATTGAGTAGATGCAAGATAGATAAGTTCAAATCCATAATGTGTCTAGGCATGTTAAGTACAAAAAGAGGAGGACCCAAAATGCAGAAATGCAGTTGAAGTTCTTTAATAACAAACAAAAATACCCAAAAATCCATCAATCGAAACTAAACTGCCATGACATGACATGACAAGACACTGACAATGGACCAAACAAGGGCAAAGCAGAACACAGGGTTTATATGCTCACAGACACAGGTGAAACACTTTAGGGCGGGCCAAACAATCAAGACAGAAAGTAAAACTCAAAACCACTAGCAGACAGAAAAAATGTCAAAATAAAACACCAAGGGCACACTACACTAAAGGAATAAGATACACCAAAATAAGCAAAAACAGCAACTACAAAACATGAACCATGACAAGGCACCTGCACCAACAAAGCTACAGAGCACACATGTAATCTAAATAATGGATAAATTCTGGGTAAAGTATAAAAATAATATGCAGTGTTATCTGTATCAGTTATCCACGTGGGTCCATATAGCAAAAGAATTCTGTGAGCTGGACACATTTTTAAGAGTGAACGCATTTTCAGCTCTCATCCATGTTGCTTTTTTAATTCTTTCAGAGCCTTGACTTTGACACAGTGAAATGTGCCTACCTCTCCTTACCTATCATTAATTGTCCCCTCTTCTCTTGTGTTTTCAGAGAGTGAGATCGTGCCCCCCGACTGCCTGCGCCCACGCTCCTTCACCACAATGCGCTCTTCGTCTCTGCGCCGCGAAGCTGACGACTCCCGCCTCTCCGTCTCCCTGTGCGACCTCAACCGGCAACAGGACGAAGGGAGCTCCACCCACAGCAACCGCCACACCTCCACCTGACCTCCGCCTCGTCCTCATCAGCCTGCCCCATTCCGCAAAACTCCCTCAACTCGCAACAGTCATCTCTGCTACCGTCCTCACTGGAAAGCGACTTGCATTTCCACCAACTCAGAGGAGCGCATATTAAAACCTTAGATGAACAGACCGTGGCGAGATCAGAGCACGCCAGAGAAGAGCGTACGCTAGTTTTTACGAATCGCTCCCTACGGATTGGCGAAACAGTTTTCATCAAAGTTACAAAGTCCAGCCCGGCGAGATCTGGGTCATTGTCATACGGAGTGACGTCATGCGATCCTGCTGTGTTACGTCCGAGCGATTTGCCGTACAACCCGGAAGCGCTGGTGGATCGGAAGGAGTTTTGGGCGGTGTGCAGGGTCCCCACGCCCCTCCAGAGCGGGGACATCCTGGGGTTTTTGGTGAACCAGGAAGGAGAGGTGATCCTGAGTCATAATGGGACCAGCGTGGGCATGCAGGTGTGCGTGGACAACTCCAGGCCGCTGTGGATGTTCTTCGGACTGCACGGTGCAGTCACCCAGCTCAAGATACTAGGTAAAAACAAAAGCACAGATCATATTATCTATGAGTTGTCAAAAGTATTGAAAATTGCATACTAATGAGTACTTAAACTAGTATTGGAACTAGACACTCTTTTTAACAGGTATCTATACTCAAAAAATCTTGAGCTGTATCAGAACAAGTATAAGACCACATAGACTAGTATATGCCCATGGACCACTATGGGATTACACTGATTTAAGACGACATGGTAATAAAAAAGAAAGTACTATTATTTAATGTTGAAAATCACATTCTATTGTCTAAAGAAAAAGTGTTTTAAGTATCATTGTAGTATCAGAATCAATATTGAGTATCCATTGTATCAAAATCAATTCAATGCTGTTAACTACACTATCCAAAAGTGGGCTTCTGATGGCATCAAAGCATGTTTTTATTATTATTTTAATTAAACTCAGTCAGTTGGCAGAGAGCGGTGAAAGAAGATGGACATACTGTACATTTTCTTTGGCAGAATAAGAGACTGCTTGTAGTGTGAGTGGCCAGGCGTTAAAGGCACATTCTGGAATTTTGGACATAGGACCTCATTTCCTAGTGAGCCAGAGTGTTGGAGACGTGTGGAGACACTTTTTTAAATATTCCATCCAGTCCTTGTATTTGCAGAGGTCACTGGTGCTAGGCTAGCGCATGTCAATGGCCATAGTTAGCCTACCACTAAAAACAGTCTTACCCACTCGACAAAGCACCCAAGGCAAAACAGTTATAACACCAGACTAATTTTAGAAGTAAAACCAACCTTGCATTTGAAGGATTTATGTCTGAGTAGCAGCAGCGAGTTGTACTTCCTGATAGAAAGCTTGGCAGCGGCGGACTCTCACCTAGCACCTATCATAACGGCAAAGTAAAATTATGCTGCTGCCGAGAAAATATTCCCATTGATAGACAACATGCGACGATTCATGTGATGCAACAGTCTGGCGTAATAATAGATTTGGTTTGGGTGCTTTGTGGAGTAGGTAAGACCATTGGCCATTGACATGTGCTAGCCTAGCACCAGCGACCACTGCAAATACAGGGACTGGATGGAATATTTTAAAAAGTGTTTCAACACATCTCCAACACTCAGAAAATGAGGCCCTATGTCCAAAATTCCACTTTGTCCCTTTAAAGCCTCAGACAGTGTGTTGAATAGAGTCATGGTGGCTGCTCCCATTGCACTGTGGGCACTGACATTTTCGAGTAGTATGGATTTGGAGTGGGAATGGTTAGAAGATGGCACGAATGAATGGCGAATGGGTGAGAGAGACGGCAGGACTGTATAAAGTAGTGGTGGTGGTCGGGGGGGGGTTAATGGCAGGACACTGATTGTGGGTTGGACTGTGATTTCCCAGGGGTGTTAGGAGTTAATGCAACCCACCAAAATACAAGAAAAAGTTGTTATCAGTTGGTATGCAGTAATCTATAGTTGGTATGCAGTAATCTATAGTAAGTAGTATTATGTGTTTGTCTTTGAGTTGTATTGCTCTTTACAAGTTTGACAAGATTTTCAATGAAGTATGTAAGACTATCTGTAGTTGTGAGGTATACTTCTGTAGCCATAGTTGCCTTGAAACTGATTGACTGAGAAGTGGCTGTCAATCGGTTTCTTCAACTGCCAACCATCACTCAAACATAACATTTACACAAGGCGGTGAAGTGTTTTGCTCAAGGACACAGAGATAATATTGCACCACTGAACAGAAGCTGGCTGTAGAGCTACAGGTATAATATCTACAATTACGGATGTTGTCCACTGTTGATTTGTGCAGACTAAATCAACACTGTGAATCAAAAGATTATGAAAACAACGCTCTGCTCCTCAATTACCAAATCAAGGCACATGTTGTCTGAGCTGAGCATAATTAGCTTGGGTAATGCTAATATACAAGTGCAATGATTTAAATGCCGCATAGCTCTAATCAAATTAAACTGCAGGTGAAGACACTTTTTGTACCTCTGTCTCCATATATTTCATTTGGTCGATGGGCTGTAATTGCGCTAAAGAGAGTAATGGGTGCTCTTTGTTCTCCAAGCGATTTATCTTGTAGATGTAGTCGCAGTTTAGGAGTCATTTACGGTGGAAGTTAGCACTGCTTTAGTCCCGCGATGTGTCCAGGGTCAGGAACTTACAGATCAAAACATCGATCTCCATCTGCAGCCAAACCAGCGAGGGAGAGGGAGAAATGGAGGGGAAGAGACTGGGAGGGAGATATAGAGGGGAGAGAGAGAAAAGGAGGAAGGGGGGAGGGGCTACAATGGGTGGGTATAGAGAGAGAGAGGGGAGAGAGAGAAAGAGAGAGAGGAAGAGAGGGTAGAAAGAGGGCTACAGTGGGCAGGTGCAGAGAAAGAGAAGGAGTGGGGTAGACTGGGAAGAGAGATGGGCATAGTGATGGGGTCTAGAGAGAAAGGGAGAGTGGGAGAGAAAGTGAAAGAGAGAGAAGAGAGAGACGGGCACAGCGGGAGGTATACAGAGAGAGGGTGAGAGATAAGAAGAGAAGATAAGAGGAGCGTAGTGCGAGGGTGTAGAGAGCAAAAGAGAGAGAAGAAGAGAGGGTAACAAGAGGAGCGTAGTGCGAGGGTGTAGAGAGAGAAAGAGAGAGAAGAGAGGGTAAAAAGAGGGGCGTAGTGCGAGGATATAGAGAGGGAAAGACAGAGAAAAAGAGAGGGTAAAGAGGGTGTAGAGGAGAGGGAGAGAGAGAGAAGAGGGGTAAAAAGAGGGGCGTAGTGCGAGGATAGAGGAAAGAGAAGAAGAGAGGTAAGAGGGCGTAGTGCGAGAAGAAGAAGAAGAGAAGAAGAGAGGGTAAAAAGAGGGGCGTAGTGCGAGGGTATAGAGAGGGAAAGACAGAGAAGAAGAGAGGGTAAAAAGAGGGGCGTAGTGCGAGGGTATAGAGAGGGAAAGACAGAGAAGAAGAGAGGGTAAAAAGAGGGGCGTAGTGCGAGGGTATAGAGAGGGAAAGACAGAGAAGAAGAGAGGGTAAAAAGAGGGGCGTAGTGCGAGGGTATAGAGAGGGAAAGACAGAGAAGAAGAGAGGGTAAAAAGAGGGGCATAGTGCGAGGATATAGAGAGAGAAATAGAGAGAAGAAGAGGGGGTAACAGGAGGGGCATAGTACGAGGGTGTAGAGAGCGAAAGAGAGAGAAGTAGAGGGGGTAGACGGGAGGGCAAAGGGAGAGATAGAGAAATATGGAAGGGGAGAGAATAATAGGGAGAGAGGGGGAGAAAACAAGAGATTGGCAGGGAGGGGGAGTTAGAGAGAGTTTAATTCAGTCCCCCCTGGGGTTGGAAATCCATTTGTACTAAGTGTTGAATGCTCTGACAGTATGCCAATTCAGGCCAAATAAAAAATTACTGCCTGAAGTCCTGACCACCACAAAGGCAAAAAGTGGGCAGTATTTTACTTGAGTAAGTTTCTGAATACGTTTTGCTTGTAGCGTTTAAAAAGTTTGATTGCAACCAAACAGAGCAAAACTGCGTGTGCCACTATGTATTTCTGAAGATAACAATAACAATCGTGACCATATATTTTGGTGAAGTTTACATATGAGTCAGTGCTTGTCTTTTCATTGCAGCTCTATGCGCAAACACAGACACTTTTCCCCACTCCTTTTGTTGGTCAGCCTCTGCACTGCTTTGAGCGAGTGACAAGTGGATTTAACTATCAGTACAGATCTGCGGAGAGGTGATTCCGCTTGTGATAAATATACATGCATACATTTATTTTCTTTTGCCAGTTAAAACACATGATATTTAATAAATAAACCAGATACATTTAATGACTGTCAAACATTCCAGGCCTATTAATAACATCGCTATGGAGACAAGCACTCCAGAGAGGTTACATACCTTTATGTATACAAAAATGAATAAATGACATACTTTGCATCCTGATATTTTTAAATCCGCATGTTTGCATTCTTTTATAACTCAGAGGAATGTCAGACCCAGCCTTATACATCCACTAAATCTGAAATAACTCCAGGTGTGAACAGACAGACAGAAGGACCTTTGGATTATAATGAGGCTTCATATAAAGCCATAGGGGGCTTAAGACAGTATGTTCACACCTTAGGTATTGTGCTGGCTCCATAACCACGCATGTCCTGATTTTCATGCAGGCTCCATAACACTGGTGTCTAACTCCACACCTTCCAATTTAAAGTTGACATTGTGAGTGTAGATGTCTGTTAAAGATGTAAGACTCGCGTGGACTCTGTCTTGAAGGCGCTTGGACTCGGTATTGATTCAGACTCGAGGTCTGACTCTCGACTCGACGATCATATTTCATTATGGTCGACAATTAACTTCTTACTGCGACATGTGGTAGAAGCTTAAAATAATAAAATACTTTTAAACTTTTAAAATAATAAAAGTGCACAAATGCATCTGTATTTGTCATGATGTGGTGGAGATCATTTACACATCAGTATCCCAGTCCCCCTCAACAAAAACCTGAGTGAACATATGTCCGAAAGACAGACACTTTTCAGTCTTTTCATCAAAACAGTAGCCAAAATAAATAAAGTGACCAACATAAAGTGAGTGAAATGACTGTTAAATAAAGAGCTGCACTAAACCTGCACATGTCTGATCTCTGAAAACATGAACCACCTTCAACACGACACACACACACAGAACAGACTCACCATCATCATCATCATCATCATCATCATCATCATCATCCCTCTGTCACAGAGAGAAACACTCATATTCCACTGAGTCGTGTCTTTTAGTCCCACAGAAGCTGAACCACATCAGCGCACAAGGAAAGAGCTGCTTTTATTTCAGCGCTTATATTTTATGCAAATGATCCAATAATAGTAATAATAATGGTGATGATATTTTAATATAAAAACGTTAACGATCAATTGAAAATCGGGCATTAATTCTCCCGACGAACGATTGAAAACATTTTATCGAATGCTCATCCCTACTATGAGCAGGTTCAACTCTAGTGGCTGGAGCTAATGTGATATTTTGAGACCGTACAGAATCTTC